GTAATGGGATTGCTGGATCATATGGTGGTTCTGTTTTTAGTTTTTGAGGAATATCCATACGGTTTCCCATAATGGCTATACTAATTTACATTTCCACCAACAGTGTATGTAAGTTCCTTTTTTTGTATCCTTGCCATCATTTGTTATTTTTTGTCTTTTTGATAATTGCCATTCTAACTGGGGTGAGATGATATCTCATTGTGGCTTTGATTTACATTTCCCTGATAGTTAGTGATGCTGAGCACTTTTTCATATACCTGTTGGCCATTTGTATGTGTTTTGAGGGATGTCTATTTGGCTTTTTTGCTGACTTTTAAAATTGGATTTGTATTTTTGTGTATGTGCTGTTGAGTTCCTTGTATATTCTGGTTATTAATCCCTTGTTGGATGGATAGTTTGTATTTTTCTTTCATAGCTTCACTCCAATGGTTTCCTTTGCTCTGCAGAAGCTTTTTAGTTTGTTGTAATCCCTTTTGCTTTTGCATAGTTTTTCTTTTGCTGCCTATGATTTTGAGGTCTTCTCCAGAAAATATTTGCCCAGAACAAACGTCCTATAATGTTTCCCTAATGTTTTTTTCTAGTAGTTTCATAGTATTGGATCTTACCTTTACGTCTTTAAGTTCATTTTTTTAAATATGATGAGTGTAGGCATCTAGTTCCTTTCTTCTGCATATGGCTGTAGTTTTCCCAGCACCATTATGTATATTTTTAAATTTTAGAAATGGAGACAAGGTTTCACTATATTGTGCAGGCTGGTCTCAATCTCCTGGGCTCAGATGGTCCTCCTGCCTCAGCCTCCTAAAAGGCTGGGATTACAGGCTTTGTAGTATATTTCAGAGGCACATAGTGTAATGCCTCTTGCTTTGTTTTTTTTTCTCAGAATTGCTTTGGCTGTTAAAGGTCTTTTGTGGCTCCATATGCATATTAGGATTTTTTTTTCTGTTTCCGTAAATAATGTCATTGGTATTTTGCTAGGGATCGCATTGAATCTGTAGATAAAGATGGAATGTGTTTCCATTTTTTGTGTGTCCTCAATTTTTTTTTGACCAGGATTTTGTAGTTTTCCTTTTAGAGAACTTTCACCTCCTTGGTTAAATTTATTTCTAGGTATTTTATTTTATTTTTTTGGTTCTTGTAAGTGCAATTGCTTATTGATTTCTTTTTTCTGCGAATTCATTGTTAGTGTATAAAAATGTTACTGATTTTTGTGTATTGATTTTGTATCCTACAACTTTACTGAATTTGTTTATCAGTTCTAGGAGTTTATGACAGTATTTTAAGAGTTTTCTATGTATAAGATCATGTTGTCTGCAAACGGGAACAGTTTAACTTCCTCCTTCCCAATTTGGATGCTCTTTATTTCTTTGTCTTGCCTAATTGTTTTGGCTAGGATAGGACTTCCAGTACTATGTTCAGTAGGAGTAGTGATAGTAGGCATCCTTGACTTGTTCCATATCTTAGAGGAAAAGCTTTAAAATTTCCCCCATTCAGTATGTTAGATGTGAGTTTGTCATATACGGCCTTTTTTGTGTTGAGGTGTGTTCTTTCTATACCTAACTTGTTAAGAGTTTTTGTCATGAGGGGATTTTGAAATTAAAAATAAATTTTTTTAGAGGTAGAGTCTGACTTTGTTGCCCAGGCTGGAGTGCAGTGATACAATCATAGTTTACTGCAACCTTGAACTCCTGGGCTCAACAATCTTTCCAGCCTGGTCTCCCTACAGGTGTGTGCCACCATGCCCGACTTTTGTATTTTTTGTAGAGATGGGGGTCTCGCTTTGTTCCCCAAGCTGGTCTCCAACTCCTGGGCACAAGCAATCCTCCTCCTTTGGCTTCCCAAAGTGTTGGGATTCTAGGCAGGAGCCACAGTGCTTAGCCTCCTGTCCTTTTAAAAATTGTTTTCTGGTTGATTCGTATATCCTTTTTTTCTTCCTCTCTTATCATTGTAGTTCGATGGTTTTCTATAGTGATAAGATTTGATTTTTTTTCTCTTTGTCCTTTGTGTATTTGTTCTACCAGTGAGTTTTATACTTTTGTGTATTTTCATGATAGTGGTTATTGTTTTTTCATTTCTAGATGTAGGACCTTCTTGAGCATTTCTTGTAAGACCTGGCTAATGGTAATGAATTTCCTCAGTTTTTGCTTGTCTGGGAAAGACCTCATTTCTGAAGGATAGCTTTTTTGGGTATAGTGTTCTTGGTTGACATTTTTTTTTTCCTTTCCGCATTTTGAATATATCATCTTATTCTCTCATAGTCTGTAAGGTTTCTCCGGAGAAATCTGTTTTAAGTGTAATGGGGATTTCCTTGTATTAACTTGATGCTTTTTTCTCTTGCTGTTTTTAGAATTCTCTTTTTATCTTTCGCTTTTGACAGTTTAACTATAATATGCCTTGGGAAGACCCTTTTGGGTTGAATCTATTTTGGAACCTTTGAGCTTCCTGGATCTGTGTGTTCATACCTCTTATCAGACTCGGGAGGTTTTCAGCTATTTCATTTGGCAGGCTTTCTGTGCTTCCTTTTTTCTCCTCCTTCTGGAACTTTCATAACATGAACATTTGTTTGCTTAATGATTTCCTGTAAGTCTTGTAGGTGTTCTCATTTCATTTTCATTCTCATTTCTTATTTCTTTGAGTAGGTAATTTCAAAAGACTTATCTTCAAGTTAGAGATTTGTGTCTTATGCTTGATCATGTCTGCTATTTTAGTCCTATTATATTTATTTCATTCATTGAAGTCTTAAGCTGCAGGATTTCTGTCTGTATCCCTTTGTTGATTTTTTTTTTTTAACACATTGTAAATTTTAAAATTAACCCAGGAAGCATCAAATATGGCCCAGTGGGGTGGGGTAGGGGTAGGTGGCTCCATCTTAATTTGGCACCATGCTGAAAGGTACAGTAGCCACTTGAAACTCGGCTTGAGGATGTTGGGCCACTGGTCTAAGGTGTCTGAGTGGTGACTTATCCTCAGGGGAAAAGTGGAGTTTTTGCTACTTGCTGCTGGAGCAAGACACACTCCAGCCATTGTTCTAATTCCAGGATGGTGTAGCACAGGCCACAGGGAGCTGGGCACAGGGTTGACTCCTTCTCTGTGGGGAGCACAGCTATGCATACTCCAGGCAGCTTAGGCCTGTGAGGACTGTAGGGTTCCTCAGTGGTGAGGTCTGTAAGTGTCCAAGGTGTTGATACAGATCGCTAGGCTCCTCTTTCTTACCTCCTTGCAGAAGGGAGTAGTCCTTTTGGTTCCCAGCTGATCCTGGTTGGGGATTGGGGTGATAGAAGCTTGGCATTTCCTTCTGCTCTCTATGTGGTCATCTCGAGTTTCTTTTATAAACTCTTCTGATGCACTCTGGCACCCTTCCTCAGTTATTTGTGTTATAGTCTAGTTGTTTATTTGTTTTTTGGCTGTCTTTTTGAGGGATTTCTAGCCGGCCATCTTGATCTGAGCACCTTTTCTTTGATGTATTGGTCAGTTGGATATCCTCTTTTATGAAGTCTCCATTCAGATATTTTGCTTATTTTTCTGTCTTTTTCTTATTTAACTGTTGATTCATTGGTATATTCTGGATATGTTAAAGGATTGCACATATCTGTGACTTGTCTTTTGACACTTTCAGTGTAGTCCTTTGATACTTTCAGTGTAGTCCTTTGATAAATAATAGTTTATAGTTTTAATATCCAATTTATAAATCTTGTCTCTCCTTTTACCATGAAGACATTCTCCGTGAACTTTAAAGCTTTCTGTTTTAAAATATAAACTCTGTTACATTTAACGAACTCATTTGCCATTCTTTTTAGAATAGAATTTTACTGAGGAATAGATACCAAATTTTATCAGGTGCTTTTCCTGGAATAATTAAGCCAGTTAGTTGAATTGTTTCCCCTGTTTATATAATATTATATTTAATTAATGTTGTAGTTTTCCTTGTGCTTTATCTGTAGCCCCTTTTTGGGATGCACCTTTCTTAATCACAGTAGTAATTTTTAAGAATAACATCATTTCTGAGATGTTATTTAAGATTTTTAATCTGTTCTCATTAAATGAGATTAGCTTGTAATTCAGATGGTTTTTAGTGATGTTCTTAACTATGCTACGATAGCCATCTTCACACATTCTTTTTTGTACTTTGGGTAAAATAATAATAATAATAATTGTTATTATTATTATTATTTTTTGAGATGGAGTCTTGCTGTGTCGTCCAGGCTGGAATGCAGTGGTGCGATCTCAGCTCACTGCAAGCTCCGCCTCTCGGTTTCACGCCATTCTCCTGCCTCAGCCTCCTGAGTAGCTGGGACTACAGGTGCTCGCCACCATGCCTGGCCAATTTTTTTGTATTTTTAGTAGAGACGGGGTTTCACCATGTTAACCAGGATGGTCTTGATCTCCTGACCTCATAATCCGCCTGCCTTGGCCTCCCAAAGTGCTGGGATTACAGGCATGAGCCACTGTGCTTGGCCAGTAATTATTTTTTTTCTTTGAATGTTAGGGGAAGAAACTTCCGGTGACTTAATCAGTGCCCTTTTCTGTTTATTATTTGAAAAAATTTATTGTTTTCTTTTTAGGTCCTTTTGTGTCTTTTTCATTTATCTGGTTTGTCATTTCTTACATAGCTTCCTGTCTTAATTCCAAATATATTGGCAACTAATGGAGAATCGTTTACCATAAAGCTCTTAATCTTTTTTATTAATTATATCTTTTTTATTTTATTGAGTCACATCTTATTTCCTTTTACAAATAAGTGGTTGATTTGTGTTGTATGTTCTCAATTAATTAGCTTGATTTGTTTTTTCACCTTTTTTTTTTTTTTTTTTTTGAGACAGGGTCTCGCTCTGTCATCCAGGCTGCAGTGCAGTGGCTCCGTTATGACTCACTTCAGCCTCAACTTCTTGGGATCAAGGGATCCTCCTGCCTCAGCTCTCCCCTGACCATGCCCCCCTGAGTAGCTAGAACTGGGACTATAGGTGTGTGCCACCATGGCTGGCTAATTTTTTTATTTTTTGTAGAGACAAGGTTTTGTCATGTTGCCCATGCCGGTCTCGAACACCTAGGCTCAAGTGATCTGCCCGCCTCAGCCTTCCAAAGTGCTGGGATTACAGGTGTGTGCCACCATACCCAACTTTATATTTTATTTTCTTTTTCTCTTCTTTTGAGATTATCACTTTACTGTTTGGCTTGTAATTTTGTGTCATTTCTAAACTCTCAGTTCATTTTGCTCTTGCTTTTCTTTTATATATATATGTGTGTGTGTGTGTGTGTGTGTATATATATATGTGTGTATATATATATATATATATATTTTTTTTGAGACAGAATTTGGCTTTTGTTGCCCGGGCTGTAGTGTAGTGGCATGATCTCAGCTCACTGCAACCTCTGCCTCCTGGGTTCAAGCTATTCTCCTGACTCAGCCTCCCAAGTAGCTGAGATTAGTTGCCTACCACCATGCCCAGCTAATTTTTGTATTTTTAGTAGAGACTGGGTTTCACCATGTTGACCAGGCTGGTCTTGAACTCCTGACCTCAGGTGATCCACCTGCCTCAGCCTCCCATAGTGCTGGGATTACAGGCGTGAGCCACCGCAACCAGGCCCAATGTCTAAGGTTTTTAAAGGTTTTTAAATTTTTCTTTGGTAAAGTCTCATATATTCTGATGAAATTTTTATTTCTATGTAAGATGTTTTATTATGTTCTGCAATTTTTTTTTCTTGACCTCAGTATAATTTAGGAAAGATATTTGGTTCTTTACATTAAAATTTTTTTATCACATTGTATATAATAATGCACATATAGAAATAAACATACATATTGCCAAGTGAGGAGATGTCTTAATTTATTCCGGGAATTGAGTATTTGTAATGTCTACCTCTTTGGATTTAATGAGGAAAGTAATGACTCCTAATTTTGCACGTTAACAGTTCACTGTCTTGTCTTCTGGTTATTCCCTAAAAAAATTGAAATCGGGCCAGGCATAGTGGCTCACACCTGTGATCCCAGCACTTTGGGAGGCCGAGGCGGGTGGATCACGAGATCAGGAGATCAAGACCATCCTGGCTAACACAGTGAAACCCCGTCTCTACTAAAAATACAAAACATTAGCTGGGCGTGTTGGCCGGCATCTGTAGTCCCAGCTACTCGGGAGGCTGAGGCAGGAGAATGGTGTGAACCCGGGAGGTAGAGCTTGCAGTGAGCCGAGATCATGCCACTGTACTCCAGCCTGGGCAACAGAGCAAGATTCCGTCTCAAAAAAAAAAAAAAAGCTTTCTTAGGGGTACATAGTATTATAAAGATCTGTCATAGGCCATTCAATGAAAACAGTTTTGTTGGCTATTTAAATCATGTTGCAGTACCTTTGTTTTTTTTAATTTAAATTTTATGTATTTTAAGAAGTATGCACATGGCACAAAATTCAAAGGGAATAAAAAAGGTTTGTAGAGCAGGATTCCTCAACCCCAGACAGGGCAGGGTTGGTGGAATGGTTGAAGAATGGAACTGTTCCACCTCAGATCATCAGGCATTAGAGTTTCATAAGGAGCCAGCAGCCTCGATCCCTCGCATGTGCAGTTCACAATAGGGTTCACAGTCCTGCGAGGATCCAATGCCATCACTGATCTGATCTACGAAACTGGTTCCTGGTGCCAAAAGGTTGGAGACTGCTGGTTTAGAGAATCTTTGAAGCAAACAGTGTTACTAGTATGTTGTTGTTGTTTTTTTTTCCCCAGGCTTTTTCTTTTTCATAAATAAGCAAATATATATACATATATGTACACTTGTTCTTCTTCCGCAGAAATGGTCACTGTCAGTGTACACTGTCTGGTGATGGGACATTAAAAACACAGACTTTGCTCATGCCTGTATTCCCAGCACTCTGGGAGGTCGAAGTGGGGTGGATCATGAGGTCAGGAGATCGAGACCAGCCTGGCCAATACGGTGAAACCCCATCTCTACTAAAAATACAAAAATTAGCTGGGCATGGTATCGCACGCCTGTATTCCCAGCTACTGGGGAGGCTGAGGCATGATATTCACTTGAACCCGGGAGGCGGAGGTTGCAGTGAGCCAGGATCGCGCCACTGCACTCCAGCTTGGGCAACAGAGCGAGACTCCATCTCAAAAAAACAAAACAAAACACAGACTTTACCAACTTTACCACTATTCAATAGAACCATGTAATACAACTGCACTTGTGCCCACTAAATTTGTACAAATAAAAAAATGCGTAAGACATAAAAGTAGTGCATAAGAGATTGTAAAATGAACATCTGTGTGACCCCCATCCACAAAAAGAAATATAAGTTTGCCAACATCTCTACAGCTTTTAGCCATTCACAGCTCCTTGCCATGCCTTTTGTGGTAGCCACTATCCTCACCATTATAGCATTGACTTTGATTCTCTTTATAGTTTTATAACCTAATTATGTATTCATAAACAGTGTAGTAAAATTGTGCTTGTTTTTGGATCTTTTACCTGAACGCTTTTAGATACCTGAAATCTTGTAGCCCCAGGAGCAGTCTTGAAGAAGAGGAGTCAGCAGGGTCTGTGGGAGGTGCATGGGCAAGGAATTCTACACAGGTTGGCCTAGTGAAGTTTGGGGACTTGATCTTACCATTATTAGGTGGACTTGAGATCTTTTCTTGTACCAGGTGATGGAGCCATATCTTCACAGTTGCCAGGGCTCCGGAACTAGCTCTGAGTCTACTTCTTTGAAGTGCTGCTTCTGCAGCACATGTTTGCCATGATCAGGGATGGTCCTGCCTGGAGTTCTCTTTATGCCCATTCTCTTTCTACTTTGGTTCTGGGGGGCATTTCTGGTTTTGTTTGTGTATAAGAGCCCCTGTGGATTGCAAAAAACAAAATCTAAAAAGTAAAGTCATGGTTTCTTTTTTCTTTTCTAATTTGTAAAATCTATGGGGTTTAATCTTAGGCTTTATTTGTAGATGCTTGTTCCTCTATCCCATTTAGGCACTTAGAAAGTTTGAACAAATCAAGGACTTCCCTGTTTTCTGCAGAGCACCTTAGATTTTCTATAAACCTAAGTAGAAAGTGGCATTGTGGTAGAGATTGTGCCTGATTTGTAAAGAATGTTAAAAAGATCATAGAAATAATTTCTAATTGAATTTCATCGTTCAGATACTTTAAAACTCCTGTGATGCTACTTACATCACAACCTATTACACATACACATACGTGTAAAACAGACTAAAGTTTCATAAACAGCATCCTTAGTATATACAGTTATTCCAATGTAGTTTATTCTGTTGTATTTTTATTTTTAAAAAAATGTTGATTAGGGATCCATTAAATTAACTATAAGGTCCTTCAAGAGATCAGTGCCTAAAGTTGAAGGTGCCATGGTTTTCTAGAGGAAGAGATTGGCTCCAAGGAATTAAACTGAACAGAGGCAAACTAGTGTCATGGTGTGGCTGAGTGTGGAAGCTTTAGGTTCTGTGCAGTGGCTTACGCCTGTAATCCCAGAGTTTGTGAGGCCAAAGTAGGAGGATCACTTGAGGCCAGGAGTTTGAAACCAACCTGGGTAACATAGTGAGATCCTATTTCTTTAAAAAAAAAAAAAAAGAGAGAGAGAGAGAGAGAGCATGGACTTTGGAGAAGGACAGACTTGGGCTTAAATCCTGGTTTTGCCGCTTGCTGGTCATATGATCAGGGCAGTCTGTTTGGCATTCTTGGGTCTCAGTGTCATTTGACTAGGGCAATCTAGTTGGCATTCTTGGATCCTAGCCTTCTGTAAAATTAAAATGGCATCTTAATCCATTTTGTGTTGCTATAACAATGTCACAGGCACAGACTGGGTAATTTATAAAAGAAAAGAAATTTATCACAGTCTGGAAGCCAGGAAATCCAATATCAAGGTACTAGTATCTGGCAAGGGCCTTCTTGCCACAGCTTCCCATGGCAGAAAGTGGAAGAGCAAGAGAGGGACAGCGAGCGTGACTGAGAGAGCTAGACTCATTCCCCCACCCCCCCCCCCCCCCCCCCCCCCCCCCCCCCAGAGATGGGCATCTCACTATGTTGTCCAGGCTGGCTTTCAACTCCTGGTCACAAGCAATCCTCCCACCTCAGCCTCCTGAGTGGCTGGGACTATAGATACTGCACCCCTGGCAGTACTCATTTTTATAACAGCCCACTCTCGTGATATAATAATAAGTCCACTCCTGTGATAATGGCATTCATCATGAGGCCAGAACCCTTGTGGCTTAATCACCCTTTAATGTCCCATCTCTTAATATAGTCATAATGATAGTTCAGTTTCAGCATGAATTTTGGAGGGAATATTCAAACCATAGCAAATAGGAATGACACTCCATGCCTCAGGGATGTGAGGATTAAATGAAAGAATATCTAGTGTAAAGTAAGCATGCAACACACAGCAGCTTTGTTAACCATTGTTATTTGTTTCAGGATTTAATGGAGTTTCTCTGATTTCTAGCCCAATGCCCTTTGTACAAATTGCAGAATCCATTATGACAAGAGTTATGGGACAGTGTTAAGTAACAGACTAGGTGGATGGGAATTGCTTGGTCGATCCACTCACCCTTTGGGATCAGTTTAGGTGACTGCTGGACTGTGTGTCCATAAACTCTGCTGGTTTATTACAGAAGTGAGAATTGTCTAAAAGTGTCAGGCAGTCACAATGTCTTCAGTGGCAGAAGAATTGGTCTTTCTGTCCTTGTTCATGGGCAGGAAGTTAAAACTAAGGGGTGTGTTTGTGTGTAAGATTAGCTCAGGGGAAGGAAGGCTAGAGGATCTTCACTTCTCCTCCCATAATCTTACATTTAAAATCTACTCTCTTCCTTTCCCTTTCTTTTTTCCTCTCCCCCTGTCTTTCTCTTTTAAAGAATGACGAGCTTTTGCCCAGGCTTGGTGGCTCATGACTGTAATCTCAGCACTTTGGGAGGCTGAGGTGGGAGAATTGTTTGAGGTCAGGAGTTCAAGACCAGCCAGGTCAATATAATGAGACCCCATCTCTACAAATATAAGAAATTAGCCAGGAGTGGTGGTGCACACCTGTGGTCCCAGCTACTTGGGAGGCTGAGACAGGAGGATCCTTTGAGGCCAGGAGTTCCAGGTTACAGTGAGCCGTGATCATGCCACTACACTCCAGTTTGGGCAACAAACCCTGTCTCTTAAAAATAAACTTTTAATATAAAATTAAATTTATATAAAATCCAATCATTAAGATAAAAACATTTACTAACATTTCACCTTTTTTCTTCCAGTCTTTTCTCATGCACTAAAAAAAAGATGGCAGTAATACTGTACATTCAAACACCCTTTTAATAAAATAAAAAACTGAACTGGTTAGATAGTTATAAATCAGTAAGATGGTAGAGGAAGGGAAAAGGGAGGGACACTTTGCTGAAAGGCAGAGATAGTGATCTCTTACTGTCTCTGAGACTGAAGGGTGGTCCTCAATTTAATCTTTCCTTCCAGGCATTCTGGAGCAGGGAAGAATCTGACTTTAAAATTGTTCCCTACCTTCTACTGTTACCCCGTTATTTGACATGCCCTCCTGAGTTCAGAAGAATAGGTCTCAAGGGTTTTATGCTGCCGATATTAATATCCCATTAGATTGCTGGTAGAGCTGCTATTTTGTGTGTGTGTGTGTGTGTGCAGTGCGAAAGCTGAATTGTTTCTAAGTTCTACTAAACATGTATGTACCAGTCAGTGCTTTTCAACTGCCTGAGGTTCCTCAACCCGTGAACCTACCCAGTCCTTTAGGAAAGCCTAGGTGTGATGCAGGAAGTAACCTGCTATCTGCCATAGTACCTGAATCAGGCGTGTGCTCTGGAAATGTTGACCTGACGTGAGGCCAGTCTCTCTTCTCTTTTCTTCACAGATTTTTTTCTCTTCACAGATTTCGAAGCCAGCTTCATAAGGCTGTTGGATAAAATAACGAATGGTTCTCGAATTGAAATAAACCAAACAGGTAAGCTCCTTTTAGAGTCCTAAAAGCACCTCCGTGCACTAAAACATTCCTGTTTCTCCCTCTTTTTTTTCTTTTCTTTTTTTTTTTTTTTTCCAGTCAGTCTCTGCTTATCCATCTCACTCTTTTTAATGGTATAAATATTATGTTTAAAACTTCACTAATCACTTTGTATTATATAAATCACCATTAAATTAGAATTTTGGGGGGACTTATATGAGGAACTCACCATATAACTTTGGAGTTATATGAGGAAGCTGTGAATGTAGATCATAATAAAAGCATATCATTCTAGATCATTAAAAAAATACCGTGTTCCTATGGAAAGACCCAGTTACCTCTCTATGATATGATTTTCCAAAGATGTACATGAAGTCTCTCAATTTGAAGGGCATACATTTGATTTAAGGAAGTTAGAAGACAGAAAATTTCAGATCCATAAGCAAGTCCCTCCTCTTTTTTTTAGCAATAAATATTTTATACATAATGTTTACATGAAACTTTCTGAAGTCCATTTATTATATTATCACATTAAATTATTTCAACCAACTCTATGAGGTAGTTTATGGGCTGAATTCTATTTATTTTAAAATTTTGTTTGTTAAAATAAGTTCACACGAGTATATGCAAAAGATGTGAACATACCTTCACTTCTTTCCTCTTCCATTCCCCTCTCCAGGGGTAGCCACTGTCACAGCATTTGCTTATATGGACATTTGCATAATGCAGACCATCAACAGCATCATCCTCTTCATATTGTTCTTCAGCCAGCATTTTTTTTTTTTTTTTTTTTTTTTTGCTAGTACAGATGTCTCAGAGAACTTGCCCTGCCAGCACGTGAAGGTTTTGCTCAATGTTTCTGTATAGTATTCCATTGTATGGATGCATGATAATTTATTTAACTACTCCCCACTGATAAACATTTAGGTTGTTTCTAGCTTTTAGTTTTTCTATTAGAAACTTGTGTCTACATTGTATGGAAAACCGTGGCAAACATCCTTTGGCTGACTCCATTAACTCTGTACCTTTCAACACACATTCCACAAATCTCTGATCTTTTCCCTATCTTGGCTCTCTTAAGGCAAGCTCAGGTTCATATTTGGTCCTGGACCACATGAGATATTCTGATCTATAGCTGCATTTAGCCATATCTTATAGAGAACAGGTTTTGGGAATGAGATGCTCACATGTCTTTTGCCAGCTATGAGTCCCTTAATTTCCTTTAGCTTGTTTGCTTTGAAATTGCTGGAGGTTTTTTCAGTAACTTTTTTGGTGATCTAGAAGACAGACATTTCTCTTCTTTTTTTGTGTGTGTGTGAGGTGGAGTCTTGCTCTGTCACCTAGGCTGGAGTGCAGTGGTGCGATCTTGGCACACTGCAACTTCTGCCTCCCGGGTTCAAGCGATTCTCCTGCCTCAGCCTCCCGAGTAGCTGGAATTACAGGTGCCTGCCACCATGCCTGGCTAATTTTTTTTTTTGTATTTTTTAGTAGAGACAGGGTTTCACCGCTTTAGTCAGGCTGGTCTCAAACCCCTGATGTCAGGTGATCCATCCACCTCAGCCTTCCAAAGTGTTGGGATTACAGACATGAGCCACAGCGCCTGGCCCAATTCTCTTCTTTTCTAGTCATATCTGCAATGTAGATTGAGGAGTAAGACATTTACGTGATTCTGCTCCCACTACATGTCCTTTTAATTTTCCCCCATCAGAGTAGTAAAAGCCTTCATTTTGATAATCTGGCCAGTTTCTCATTTGGTTGATTTATATAAATAAACATACAGATTTGAAGGATTTAGTGAATATATAGTCTTTTTTTGTTTTTTTGATCTAAAGAATGGTTTTGTGGCCCTTACAACTATTTCAAATAATGGACCCAGAATCCATTTGAGAAGTGTTCATTACTTTGATAAGAATATGGTCCTGATTGTGATTGTTTGGATTCTAGTGTTTAATATAGTAAAGCCTAAATTTATTTTATGAAAGTCCCAAGAACTTTTTCCCATTTGAGTGACTGAACATGCCTCCTTCCTCTATTGTTAAATATATTTTTGGTAAATTGTGCCAGAGGGCATTGCAAAATATTTTGTGCTGCAGAAATACCCTGTTCTACCATTTATGTCCTCCTAGATCATTTACAGTTTTTTACATTGATATGTAAATCTAGTAAGAAGCTTTTTGGATAGCCAGGCATGGTGGTTCATGCCTGTAATCCCAGCACTTTGGGAAGCTGAGATGGGCGTAAGAAGCTTTTTGGATAGCCAGGCACAGTGGTTCATGTGTGTAATCTCAGCACTTTGGGAAGCTGAGCCTAGGAGTTCAAGACTAGCCTGGGCAACATAGTGAGACCCTTTCTCAAAAAAAAAAAAAAAGATTAGCTGAGCATGGTGGCATGTGCCTAGGGTCCCAGCACTTTGGGAGGCTGAGGTGGGAGGATCACTTGAGCCCAAGAGTCCAAGACTATCCTGGGCAACGTAGTAAGACCCTTTCTCTTAAAACAAAAAAAAAAAAGAAAGAAAGAAAAGAAAAAGAAAAAAGAATTAGCTGGGCATGGTCCCAGCTACTCTGGAGGCTGAGGTGGAAGGATTGCTTGGGCTCTGGAAGTCAAGCTGCAGCGAGCTGTGATCATGCCACTGTACTCCAGCTTAGGGGATAGAGCAAGACCCTGTCTCAAAACAAAACAAAGCTTTTTGAATGATATGATTTTGTGAAAAGTGAATAAAGATAGTAGTTTCCACTAAAGTCATAACATATTAGGCATTTCCATGTATCAATATTAAATTAAATGAGCTACTGTTAATGGCATTGAATGCCATAAAGTACTTGCCTTTTCTTGGCATCCTGTTTGGTGAATGAGGTGTATGAGAAATCTCATTTCAGCAGCCCTGGAGGACGCTGGTTGCTGGTGTGATGATTTAAGCACATCATTTGTCATTCCCCTCTGTGGTCAGCCTAGTCTGAGAGTGTGCTGTTGGGAGACTAGGGTGCTTATTAGGATCTCTCTTCTATGCCCTGCCATGACTTTGGCAACTCAGATGACTTAGGGAGGGGCTTAATTTATTACTGATTATTAAATTACATTCACAGTTTATTATTGTTACAGGGGCTTGACAGTAGTGAGTCAGCTTTTGGAGTGAAGTGTGGGCTCTTAGCGATGGCATTTCAGGCACTCTTGGATGCCCTTGTCAGACTTTCCCCTTGGAACTCACTGCCTTCATTACCTTTGTGACATTTTTGTTTTTTTCCTGCTGAATGTGGCTCTTTTTCTTCTGGTTTAAGGAACAACCTTATATTATCAGCCTGGCCTCCTGTATGGTGGATCTGTGGAACATGACTGTAGCGTCCTTCGTGGCATTGGCTATTACCTGGAGAGTCTTCTTTGCTTGGCTCCATTTATGAAGCACCCGTTAAAAATAGTTCTACGAGGAGTGACCAATGATCAGGTTGACCCTTCAGTGAGTATTGAGAACAAACCGTGGTGTGGTTTTTGTTTTATCTCTTGTCACAACCCGACTTGTGAGAAAAAAGTTCCTCATAAAGCAGTTTTATTTCAAATGTATATTCCTTTTGTTATTTACCTTGAGATTTAGAGGTTAATCACTCCAGGGCACAGATGAACCAAAACTTAGGGTCATCAAATTCAGGACTATTGTTAACAGTTACCAAGGCGCCTTTTGTTGTTATCTTAAGAACCTTCAAAACAGTTGCTCGCAGTCATAGTTGACATGAACTATAGTTCTGTTGGCTGTAGTATGTCAGAGTAGAGTTTTTGTAAGGTTCTGTGGTAGCTGAGGCTAGAGGGCAGCCTATCAAATTTTGGGCAGGAGATCATAGTTCCTTGGCATTGCTACAGCATAATCTTGACTTACCCAGGCTTCAATCATAAACTCAAGGGCTTTTGTTTTCTGAGAAGAGTTGCAGATAGAAAAAGGGCATAAAGTCAGGAAAGGAATGTGTGAGATTTGGTAGTTTGTGGGTGTCAGCAAGCGTTTCATTTTTATTTTATTTTTTTCACCAAGGGCCATGCCAGAGCAAGTTTTTTATTAAACATGCTAATTTTTCTGCAGATATGGAGAGAATGGTTTAATATCAAGCAAAACTTTTTATTATGATCACAACTGTCTTCGTGCCATTCTAGGATGGTGTGTGTGTGTGTGTGTGTGTGTGTGTGTGTGTGTGTGTATGTCAGAGAGAGACAGAGAGATTAGAGAAGTCTAGAGAAGTCCTATCCAGGCCTTCCTCCCTTGTAGGGAGGGGTGGATTTCCTGCTTTTGGATGCTCTGCTGTCAGAGAAGATACCTTAAAACTGATGGCCATGATGCAAAGTCCAGACAAAGGTAGTATGCTTGTCTTTACCATTACAGTCCAAGACCAATGACTGGGTAGCTTCTGAGGCAGAATGTGAATTATGTAGCTTCTCTACTCAGGGAGGACCAATGAGGTGATGCTGTGAGCCCCAAAGTAGAGACTGCTGGTATTCACCAAGATACCTACTAGGGTATAAACGTTGTTAATATGTTCTTAGGCAATAAAAACTTATTCTTCAATTCTTGGAAATTTAGCTGCATAAACTCTTTTTCCTGGGATACTGAGTATAGTACAAGATCTGGAATTCTTAAGCTGTAAAGGAATGTTGCGTAAACTCTTCAGAATATTTAATTAAGTGTTTTTTTATTTTTATTTTTTGCATTTTCTAGAAGACTATAGGAAATGAGTTCTTTGCATAAAAGAATGAGAAGAGGTATAAATACCTTTAGGTTGGAAGAGGGGAAGATGCCTCAAACAGTGGGAAAAGGCCCTGAAGTATACAGCAGTGTGTGTATCAGTTTTGTACTTTTTTTCTATACTTGCTAATTATCTTAAAAGCTTTTCTCACTGGCAATATTTTAAAAATTTTATATGCTAACATTGACAAAAGATCAGTTGATGAATTTCTCAGAAGTGGTACCCAAAAATCTGTTTTTTTATGCTGTAGGAGTATCTGCTTTTGCCAGCTGCATGACTAAAATGACCTTGGTTGGTATCTGACTCCAGGCCAGAGTAAAATAAATATACCTAATCCTGAATAAAGAGTGACTTCTTCAGCTCATTCCATGGCTCCTTCATTTCTAGCTTCTTCTTTTTTGTGTGGTTTCCTCATTAGTTCATGTCTGCATCTACTCTCTGCATACAAGGATGAAATGAGTGATTCAGTCCTTAACAAACTCCTAGTCTCTTGGGGTGGACAGCTGGGAACTCATTTAGGGAGATTACAAGGATGAATACCCTTGGGCTCTGATAGAGGTAGAAGCAAAGTGCTTAGTGTCAGAAAGGGTTTCTTGAGGATGGAAAATCAGAGTCAGCCTGGGTTTTAGGAAGATAATTCTGGAGGTTGAGTGAAAGATGAATGGAGAGGTGATAGACTAGCTTGGGCATTATGGAGATGGAAGGAGAAAGGAAGGGGCAGATAGGACAACTAATTGGAGGTGGAATGAGAGGAAGGGGCCATAGATGACTTCACAATTTCTGTCCTGGTTGCCATAAAGGATCATGATCATAAAGATCATTCCCATTTGACAAAGGGAAGAGGAAAATTGCAGTAGGATAATGGGTGATGCTTTTTATTTTGGTCCTGTTCCCTGGGATGTTGGCAGCCTGACCATATAAGGATTTCCAGTTGGCAGTTAGAAATTATTGTCTGGAGCCTCGAAGACAGGTCATCAAAATCTTACCTGCTGATACTTAAGCCTCTAGGAATATGAGATTGATTAGGCTGAGGCTGAACACTGGTGAGTTTGGCTGAATTCATCTTTCACGTGTTTTTCCTTTGACATGTACAGTGTGGCAGTGGTGGCGGTGGTGGTGGTGGTTGTTGGTGGTGTGTGTATGTATCTGAATTGATTGTTCATGTTTGAAACTCCAGATTTTACATTATAATAGGGCAGTGTGACAATACTGAATGGTGGTTCCTCCATGACAGCCATCAGTTGGAGGTGAGTAGCAGCTCTGCCTTTTTTGGATAAAGTGTGAGCTTTCAGCTGGACACAGGTCACAGCCGACCTCATCATTCATTTAAGCTTCCTCTCTGCCCTCTATGGGCATTAGAGTTTCTGCCCCATGGTCCAAGGGACTGAGAATGGAAGAAGGAGAAATGAGTGTTTAAGGTGTGAGTGGGAGAAGAGGAGCTAGAGATGGAGTGACTGTGAAGATAGAAGTATTTGGAGAAGCCAAGCAGGAATCAAGTTCTAAGAAGTCAGGGATAATCCACAGAATCACTCTTTGCCAGAGTTGAGTCAGATTCAGCAGTGAGACATTTTTATTGACCTTTGAGAGAACAATATCATTGGAGTATAAGGACAGGAACAGACTGAGGAACGAGTAGGAACTAGAGCTATTGGAAAGTTAGGAGATTCTTCCAGAAGTTCTTAAGAGCTGAGGTTGGGAATTTTTTTTAGGCTAGGGGAAGTTTGAACTTGCTTGCAGGCTGAGGAGAAGCTGTAATGGAAAAGAAAAGAATTAAAAGAGCAGAGAGTCCTTGCCGAAGTCCAGAGGGGATAAGGATTGAAAACAGAGGTGATGGAATGAGCCTTATGAAGAGGAAGAAGACATTTTTTCCTTAGAGACAAGAGAATAGAAAGTGGGGAAAAATTTTAAAGAGAAGAAAAGTTTTAGGAGGTATCCTGACTCTTAGTGGTGTGGCACCAGAGCTCCCAGTAATTATTTATTGGTGCCAACAAGCTGCTCCAATGGTGGGTGAAGATTCCATTCATTTCCACTTCCCTCTTAGAGAAGAAAAAGAAGTACAATAATGTCTACTGTGTACTGGGCATTATTCTAGGTGTACATATGTATGTATGTGTATATCCATATTTCTTTAATTCTTCTACCAACCCAGTGAGGCGGGTGTTTCAGACAAGGTAACTGGAGAGCAGTTTTCTCCCCCGCCCTCCCCCCCTTTTTTAAGCATAGATTGATTACATTTTTACCTTTTGATTGATTGACTGCACTGTAATATTAATGCCTTTGCCCTGAGCTGCCACTTAGGTGAGATCTTTGCCTTTTCTCTCTGACCTCAGAGTGGACCGATCAGTTTCCCCTAAGCAGAACTTGCAGGCCACCATCACTCTGCTAAAACTAGAATGTGCAAAGCTGCAGGAGACTGTAGAGTGTTCAGCCCTGCCTCTCATTTTACACAGGAGGAAACTGAGGCCCAGGAGACAGGGAAGTGTCTAGGGTCTCACAGCCAGTGAGAGGCAGAGTAGGTCCCAAGCCCTTATCTGCTTTTCCTGCTCTTGTCCCACTGCACCAAGTTGCTTGTCCTCCATGTCAGATGGAGAGTGATAAGGGGACAGGACTACACTTGGAGTTACCCTTGGGCTTCTGGCTGAACTAAGTAAATTTGGCTTCACCTTTTCTGACTCAAGGTATAGGAAAGATGAGCCAGAAGAAAGGCTGTGTTTCTTCACCTTTTTTTCCCCTCAGGAGAGCCGGTGGCTGGCCAGAGTAACTGCAGCATTGCATCTCCTGCTTTTTCAGAATCTGACTTGGCCTTCTCCCCAGCTGCCCTTAAGCCTCAGCTGTATTCTTCTTTATCTGGCAATGCTAAATGCATATATTAAGTTTTTGAGTGTGCTTAGCTTTATTTTTTTATTTTTAGAGACAGGGTCTCACTGTGTCTCCCAGGCTGGAGTGCAGTGGCGTGATCATAGCTCACTGAAGTCTTAAAGTCCTGGGCTCAAGTGATCCTCCCACCAGCCTCTCAAGTAGCTAGGGCCACAGATGTGCACCACGCCCAGCTAATTTTTTTAGTAGAGATGAGGTCTCACTATGTTGCTCAGGCTGTAGCTTTAATATTTAAAATTAGCTAATCTTTAATGGTTTTCCTAGTTTCCCTTGCCCCACCTGATCCATTCTAAGCATGTTCTTAGGCCTCACAGGTCATTCCTACGTCTGGTAATTTTCTGATATCACAATATTTAGTTGCGGCTTCTTAGCCTATTAGAGTTGGTTGCAACTTGGAGATAGCTGGGCTTGAGCCCCTTGCCTTAGAGATAAGGAAATTCAGATAGTTGTGATTTTCTTGTGTGAGGCAACATAGCTAATTAAAAGCAGAGCTGGAACCAGGACTAGGGCTTTTCCTATGCCTTCTGTGTGGTGCCCACCCTCACAGGTCCAGCTGACAGGTCCAAGAAGGGAACAAGTAATGGAGTAATTTTCTTTTCCATGTAGCAGTTGAGGCAGCATTTGCCGACTCGTTAGATAACAGTACGTGATTTGAATGTCATCTTTATACCCTTATCAGGAATCCGCAAATGGATCAGAAAGACCCCAGACTTCCTAGGAGCTCTGAATGCAGGAGGAGATAACAGTAACACGTGGCAAAGTTTTGCCATTAACTGTGGATGTTGTAATTGTAGTTTTGAGTTTGTGCTGCTTCCTGTAGTTTGAGGCTATCATCACCCCCACTCCCCAACTCCCATGTAAAACCATCACCTTCCCTTTAGCTGCCTGTGTGGTGCTCATCATTGGCATTCTTAGGTGAGCTGCTGAATAGTTCATTTGGTTTGCTTTGACTCGGAATGCTACCAGCTCTAAACATTAAATAACCATACTGGACAAATGTTAATGAAAATATTATTTTCTTCTGTAGCATTTATATCTATAAGAATGAGTAGGGTTCTCCAGGCTGGGCGTGGTGGCTTACACCTGTAATCCCAGCACTTTGGGAGGTTGAGGTGGGCAGATCACAAGGTCAAGAGATCGAGACCATCCTGGCCAACATGGTGAAACCCTGTCTCTACTAAAAATACAAAAATTAGCTGGGTGTGGTGGCATGCACCTGTAGTCCCAGCTACTTGGGAGGCTGAGCAGGAGAATTGCTTGAACCCGGGAGGCAGAGGTTGCAGTGAGCCGAGATCACACTGCTGCATTCCAGCCTGGCGACAGAGCAAGACTCCATCTCAAAAAAAAAAAAAAAAAAAAAAAAAAAAAAAAAAGAGTAGGGGTCTCCATCCATTTGTTTTCTACAACAGTCCAGTCCCTCCATGCATTTTGTATTATGCCTCCGATGCTCATGATGACTGTAAGGTAGGTCTCCATGTCATAAATGAGGAAAGTGTGGCTTGGAGAAGCCCAGTGGCCTGTGAAATCAGTGTTCCTTAGGCAGAGCCAGCCCACTCGCTCAGTTGTATGCCAGCATCCTTTCTGTTTACCACACTGCATCATCTACCTGGTTGCTAAGCCTCACTTGTTTTTTTGACTCTTCTATTCTGCCGAAGGTTTAATTAAACTTTTCTTTTCTGAAATAATTTCATAGGTTGATGTTCTTAAGGCGACAGCACTCCCTTTGTTGAAACAATTTGGGATTGATGGTGAATCATTTGAACTGAAGGTAAGAATGTTTGAACTGTTGACCATATGTTCCTGTGGAGAACATTTTCCCACTGACTCATTGGAAGAGCTGTGTGACTCAGTGTATGTGTGTCACATTTGAGGTCACCAGTTATCAGAAGACTCACAGGGCTCATGAGGTAAACGCTACAGACTTGGAACTGCAAGGGACCCTTTAGTAATAACAATCGTAGCTGACAGTTCTGTTGCACTTACTTTGCGGTAGGGGCTGTTCTAAGCAGTTTACAAAGACTACTTTTCTCCTCGCAACAGCTCCGCCCATATCCCTCAGCTAGCAAGCAGTGGAGAATAGATTTGGGCCATATTGGCTTTCTGATCTAAATGATCTGGATATAATTTATGTTCAGGGGCTCCCAGCCTGGATGTCCCTGAGAATTTTCAGTATTTCCAAAATCTAGTAGAAGTAGTTTAAGCATCTGTATATTGTTGAATTATATCAGTCCAATGAGGTAAACCATTTAGCATCTCTGCCTTTTACATTCATGTTTTAAACGGGGAAAATGACTTCATTTTTATTTAATAATGTTTTGGTAGATCAGTTATTTGCATGGGAGGAGAAAAAGGGGTTTCTGATTATTAAGAAATGGGCTCAGATGATGGACTAGGTCAGCTCCATATTTTAAGGATAAAGAAGTGACCTGTTCAGGGTTAAAGAGGTGAGTGGCACAGCCACTTGGGTAATGGACTTGGACTTTGACACACGCTGAGCGTGTACTCTCTAGGAGCCAACATAAGGTGCTGTTGGTCTTGAAGGGAATGACAGATTGAATATGGAAGAGCTATGCCTTGTAAGGAAGCATCTGCTGGTGTAAACCTTCCTGGGCAGGGTTTCAGGGTAATCCATTGCTTTGCTGCATCCTCGCCTCATCTTTCTCACTCTGTGTAGATTGTGCGACGGGGAATGCCTCCTGGAGGAGGAGGCGAAGTGGTTTTCTCATGTCCTGTAAGGAAGGTCTTGAAGCCCATTCAACTCACAGATCCAGGAAAAATCAAACGTATTAGAGGAATGGCGTATCCTTTCCATTTATTTGGATTTCTTTTTTTTTTTTCTTGCCTCACTAAGATAAGAATGACTAACAGCTTTACTTCTTCCTGACGTTATTTACATTTTAAACTACAACTTTGAAAAGTCTTAACAGTGAAATCATAATTGCCGGCTGAGTTAGGATGTTCTGTTATCTGCCTCACCATGACTAGATTGATTGAGTCCTTCTTTTTTTTTTTTAATTTTCCAGTTAACATTTAGGCTCTAATGTATGTGATCCTCTCTCAAGTGCTTTGGTTTGGGGGCCATGAATATACTGCAGTTCCTCCCTCAGAAGAGGTCATCATTCAGTGAAGGAGCCAAATATGAAAACACACTGTTCTGATATAACATGCAAAATGATGTGTGCAGTGGGGTGGGGGAATAGACAGTGGTCAATTTTGTCTGGAGGACCTAGGGAGGCGGGAGTAATCATAATGAACAATATCTAATATTAAGTACTTACTCTGCGTCTACTTCAGTAGTCCCTTTGCATGCTTTTAAGCCTCAGATTGACTCTTGAGTTCACTTACATCCTTTTTTGCAGATGGGGAAACTGAGACTTCAAAAGCTTAAGGAATTTGTTAATAACATCACACTGCAGAGCTAGGATTTGAACCTTGTCTGTGTGACTCTGAAGTACAGGCATTTAATTTTTACTTTTTCCCATAGAAAGGAGCCTTGAAGAACAGAGGATTGCAAAGTAGAGTGAGAAAAGAGGAGTGCTTCAGGTAGAAAAATGGGCCTGAGCAGAGGTGGCAGCGCACAGTGGTTCTAGCGAATGGCAAGTAATGAAGTGTGACCGGATTTCAGGTTGGTCTATGGCATTTGATGGTAGAATGGGGCATGAAGACAGGCAGGAGCCAGTGAAGAGCTGAAGGTGGCTGGAATCAGATACTGTGCAGAATGCAAAGAAAGGATGGTGGAACCCTGTGAGGCCACCAAACCTTGAAAGCAAGAGTTAAGTAAGGAGGGAAGTAAGAGTGGGGAGGAGGATAAACAAAACATAGCTTCTTGGAAGCTCAGGTCAGCACCTTAAAAGGCCCTGACGAGTTAGCATTGGGGGGGGGAAAAGCTGAGGGACTCAGCAGCAGGCTGCCACTGATACCCTGAGGAAGAGTGCTGGATCTCGATCCTGAGGGACTAATTCTGGGTTGTGGAGTGAAGGGGAGGGAAATGGCGGCTTGTGGGGACCACTGTTTGCAGAATCTTGACAGGAAAGAGAAGGAGAAGGAAGGATGAGGTGGTAACTTGATGAAGCGAGAGTGGGGGAGACTCCCTCCCTTTTACAAAAAGATTGGTAAGGATTTGAGTGTTTTTGTAGGTTGTTAATGCCAATGAAGCAAAGTAATGAGCTGATTAAAAGCCCGGGTGCTGGAGTCAGAAAGACGTGGGTGCTGATGCTGACTGTGCCACTCACCAATGGAAGCATTTTGGCCCTAAGCCTTGGTTGCCTATATATCTTGGTCCTGTTATAACTGCTGTGTGGGACTGTCATGAAGGTAAAGTGAGATTATAGTTGCACAGTAGCAGGCACTGGTGTGTAAGTAGCTTTGGGTAAATGGTTGCTACTCTTCTTTTTATTCTTACTTGAGAGGGGATGGATTCAAGGCCACAGGCATATGGTAAGGGTGGCTCCAGGTAGAGCTGTGTGGAGGTGAGTGGAAGGGGGTTGGGGTTTTTCAGTTGTTACTGAGTTAGGATGGGATTGAGGGTAAGGGGATGGGCAGGGTAGGATAAGAGAGTGTGACAAGGATGGTAAAGATGTGCCTTCACAGTGGGGCATCATAACTGTAGATAAGAAAAAGGCTGTAGAACAGCACAAAGGTCCTGGCCGAAGGTGAAATGTTAACATAGTGCCAGTTGCATGGCCATGTGGCTATGTCCAGTGGCAATTGGCAGCCTAGAGGGAGGAGTAGAGAACGTGGGAGGACCCATTTCATCCAAGGATGGATGCAGGTTGGCAAGGTGGGTGGGTCCTACAGTAGGACAGTTGGAGGGTGGGTGCTGGAGCATCGGGAAGTACATTCCTCACTGAGGATTGTCACAGGGGCTCACCAGCCTGGAGAAAGCAGGTCAAGGGACAAGAAACTTTTAACAGGTTTAAAGATCAGGTCTAGTGGAAATAGATACATGTACTGTGTAGGACAAGAGATTGTGTTTAGGGAGTTTTGTTTTGGGATTTCAGATATTAAAAGTGGTAAAATTCTAGGTGCTGACAGGATCTGGGTGGGGACAGGTGTTGGAGGCCATACAGCAAGATGGGCCGTGGGATGACTTTCCTGGCGGGGGTGTGACAAGGAGGGGTAGACCAGAAGGCCTGCTTCTCAGGGCTGGAGTGGATGCTTAAGGTCAGGTTTTGTATTTCTCAGGAGGTTTGGGGATGGTCTTACTTGGAGGAAGAGAGGTGTAGCATGGACTTTGTTTTCAGAGGCCTCAAATAGCTTACACAGTAAGTGGTGAAGGGCAGGGAGTGGGGTGGGCTGCAGAGTCATGGGCAGAGAGTGCTAGTTAAGATAGAAGCTCAAACTTGGGTTGCTGCCTGATGATCTTTTTAAGGATTATCAAAAGCACAGGAATACATAATAACAAAGCCTTCCTGGATTATGGTCTGTTCTCTACATGGCTGTCCCCTAGCCCGTGTAAGTGTCAAGCCTTGTGTGTACCAGGAGAGAATGGGCAAAAGGAGAAATGTTCCTTTCCTAGGAGCCCCGAGGTTGATGTATAGTTAAATTGCCCAGGCAACTTTCTAAGGTGATGTTCAACTCTAATATCCAAATCAGAGGAGCTGGAATAAGGTTAATGAGGTTACGAAGAAATGGAAATGCCGTGTAACTAGGTGTGTGTTTTTAAAGTCAATGTGCCTTTTCTACTTGAATTCATTCTTATTAACAGATGCATTGTATCCCACCATTGATGCCCCACTGTGAAGGCACATCTTTACCATCCTTGTCACGCAAAATCAAACCCTGTTGATGGCCATTGAGTTGTTTTTTGCTTTTCACTATTGCCAAATACACTGCGGTTAATGGCTTTAACCGCAACATTTTTGGCAATGGTGAAAAAAAGTGTAATAAGTGTACAGGAATACACTTTCCAGTACATTCCAATAAGTATACAGGAATACACTTTCAGTACTATTTTGGGTTTGTCTGGGGGGTGGTTGTTTTTTTTTCCTCCTTATTTGAGATGTGTTTCCTTAATGCTGTATTGGCGGCAGTGAACTTTGTTTGGAATCCAGTCTCTGTAGTCTGGAAATGTGATTTCTGGCAGTGTGCTCTGTTTTGACACAATCTTGTCATAACAACATGGATTTCATCACAGTGGGGTCCCCCTTGTTCTCTCTGGGTGTGCAGATGGCTCATGTCCTTTGATGATGGTGCTGGGAAATGGGGAAGGGTTTTCCAGGGGAGAATATAAAAGTTAAAAGAGCTGCAGTGCTGGGCACCTTGGGTGTAACTTTGTTCCTCCCTGACTTCTCCCTCTAATGTTCTTGGAACCTTCCCTGTGTAGAACCTGAGCCAGGAAGATACTTGTGAAGTCCCAAGTTCTTTCCCTCCCTGGAGGCAGGGGATAGGACACAGAAATCATTCCCAATATATCTCTGACTGGTAGAGGTTTCCTCCCAGCTCCCCAGGAGAGTTGACACAGTGCCCTTGCTCAGATCCCTGTCTGTAAACCAAATGTTTCAGCCACTGCTCTGCAGAGCTGCCCATTTCACAAACACCTCAAAGGAATGTTGGTTTGAATGGAGATCACCCTCTTCTCCAGTTTTGGAGCCTGGGAAAAAAAGAGCTGCCTTTGGAAAAAGCTTGAGTTGGTTTTGTGGTTTTTTTCCTTGCAAGGCTTATTGACTACTGGACTAAGCTTGGAGGTTGTATTTCCCGTAGGAGGGCTCAAATTGGGAGAATGAGGCTCACTCTCTTGTGTGCATTTGTGGTCTTAACTGAATTACTTCCAAAGTGTATCTTTTCCCTCTTGCATTCTACAAGATGACCTACCAGCCAGGGCCCAGAGGAAGCCGGTGTTGGTTCCTGCCAGCAGCTGTGACTAGACAGTAGTTACCTTTTATTTAATGCCACCCACTCTGTTTCTCACCCTTGCCTTATGTGGGGCATAAGAGAAAGGAGCGTTCTGTTTCAGTTTTGCAGTGCTATCCTAGGAGCTCGTGATTTGGTACATGAGAATTAAGTGAAAAAGCTGGCAGTAAAGGGGGTTAAGTTGGAATTTGTGGGATAATCTAGTTTCTTTTCCTTGACTGTAGAGAAGGTACTTTGAGAATCAAGCTATCTTTCTGTATCTCCACCTACTGTAACACACACACATATCCCTCTTAGTTTTCTCTGACATGGAGCATTGGGGAAGGGGAAGAGTGGGAGTCCTATATGGACTGTAGCTATGGACTTGTACATTGGTATTGATTCTTAATATGGTTTTCATAAATGGGCTTTAGGAGGTTCATAAACCTCAAAATTTTTATGCAAAATTGTGAGTACATATGTTTCTCAGAAGAGGGTCCATAGGTTTCATCAGATTTCCAAAGAGTTCTCTGATTCCTGAAAGAATAAGAACCTCTGCTTGGGATTTGAATCTTGGATGAGTAATAAGAAAAGCAATCGCTGACATTTGCTGGGCTCCTGCTACACACCAGGCATTAAGAGCTTTACATGCATTTTATTTCATTTGCACCTCCAAACTCTGTAAGGAATGTGTTATGATTATCTTTCTTTTACTGATTAGGAAATGACGGCACAGAGAAGTTAGCACAATTAACCTGGAATGATGCAGCTTGCTGGAGCTGGGACTTGAACAGAGATAATCTCATTCTAGAACTTGGGGGCTCTTAGCCATTCCTTAGTAGGACATACATACCAAGCCAGATGGTTCTAAGCAACTCGATGTATCTGGCTTTAAAGTTCCTTTGCCTTCTTCATTTCACTGCCTGAGTTCTAATACAGGGTTCTGTTGGCCCTGAATTTGTACTGTGCGGTACCCTTCGTGTTTCCATATTGGGATGGGTGAGAGGAGGAAGATGCTTTTTGGGAGTCAGATCTGTTTAATTCTGAGCAAGTGTATTAGTTTTTTGTCTTAGTTGTCTTTAATGTTAAGTCCTAGAACTCAGAACCGTGGCTCTCAACACAGCGTTACTGTGAGCATAAAGTAAGGTGATAATATATGTGAAAGAACTTTGGGAGCCATGAGCTCTGTGGGATTATGTGTTAGGATGGTGACATCTCTTATGCTTTCCTGGGGAGAATAGGCAGCCTCAGACCTCAGAAGGACAGCACCCACTTGGTCCAAAGGGTATGAGACCTAGGACTGTTTGTCTAAGCTGTCTGTGGTCAAAAGTACATTCTGGACTGAAGAGATGGTGATGTAACTGGGCTGTGTGTATATTGAAAAATCCCTCTTTGCTCTTTCCTCATTGCAGGTTTGTCCTTTGAGTCAAGTTAAATATTTATTGAGCATTTCTGAGTACAAAAGTAGTGTATTAGAGAGTTGGGAGAGATTACAGAAGTAAAGCCCTTGCCCTTATAGAGTGTGTGGTCTTGTTGAAGATCAAGAACAAAATGTGTGTATGTGAAGAGAGATGTATGGTAAGTTCAAGTGGAACCCACACTTGGGTGCTGGCTGGAGGGTTTCAGGAGAGAGTTTGGGACCTCAGGGCTGGGAGAATGGGGCAGAACAGCTCAGGTTGAGGAATTTGGGCAATGTGGATGGGTTGATGGTGCAGAGCTGAAGATGGACACACTGAGCAGGCTGGGGGTTCTAACAACAAGATATGGGAGGATCAGGAGCCACCGAGAGATTGTCACCAGCATGACAAAGATTGGTCTTTTAGTATGATGTTCAGGATGGGTCAGAAAGGGAGCTAGATGCCAGATCAGGTCATGTATCATCTCTGAGCACTTTGTTTCTGCAGTTCAAATGAAAATTAAATATGTTATTGACAGCAGTTCTTGAACACTCACTGGGCTGGAACGGGCAGATCACATATCTCATTTTACCTGTTGGACTTGTCATGTGGGGTTTGCATCAGGATAGTGGGAAGGTCACATGTTATTTCTCCATTTTTTTTAGTTCCAAATATATAGCCATCTCTTGACCATATTGCACATTGAAGTGTTCAATACACACTTATTTTTTCTTTGACATGTGTGGTTGGGGAAAGCCAGCTTCTGTTATAAGTCTAGTTTTAGGCAATAATTTCCATTTCCTCAAGCACTAGTCTTTTCACTTGAGTTACTGATACCTTCCTCCTTTCTTTTCTGGGGTGCCCTGTTGTAGGAGTGCTAATTATTAATATTTTAAGTATAAGGTAGCAGGTGTGAGGAAGCTGTGTTATCCACAAGTGGAGTAATTAATTCTTAAATAGTAGAAAATAGGCCCTGTAAGGTAGAAAAACCTTTTTATATATTTATAAATAGCAGCAACCATGTTCTTTCACTGAACTTTTTCTGCTTCTCCCGTCAGCATACCAGGAGGCGGATTGGGATCGCCCAGGTCCTGTGTGGTGTCTGTTCTGGGCTTAGGTTCTTAAGAGAGAGACTCATTGGCTGCAGCAGTGGGAATGGACAGAGAATAGAAAGTGTTCTTAGGTGTTGTACTTCAAAGGGAGCCTGGATCATGACCCGCAGAGAGGCAGGTGTCTTTATGCCTTCCAAAATTGACTTGAACCATTTCTAGGGGAAGCATGTCTGTTGGAAGTCAGGGATGGGGTTGAGGACCTCCAGCTTTATACTTTCCACTCTCTTTATTGGTTAGGTGTTTTCGCCATGACCTTTTATAATAATGAAAAAAAATTAATTACGGTACTAATTCAGTAAATACAGTTGGAAAACAATAGATTTGGAAGTCCTAGTTTGTTACTACAGTTCCACAAATACTTGCCAGCTTTATAAGTGATTTTTTCTGTCCTGGAGTTCAAGCAGAATGACATCCTTAACTCCAGGCTGCAGGTACTCTGTACGTGTGTCACCTCAGATGGCGAACCGGATTGTGGATTCTGCAAGGAGCATCCTCAACAAGTTCATACCTGATATCTATATTTACACAGATCACATGAAAGGAGTCAACTCTGGGAAGTAAGTATCTGTGTTTTTGAAGTCTGTTTGTGCAGCTTTTTCACATGCCTGTTCTAGTTGAAGTTAAAACTGCCAGCTCTGAGGTTGTGCAGCCAGAGGAAGAACAATTTCAGAATTAATTTCCTTCTGACTTCTTGCTGTTGTCACCAACAGGCATTTCTTGAGTGCCTGTCACATGGAAAGCATCCCAGTGACTAGAGCTGGAAGCTGAGGGTCTCGTTCCTAGCCTTAGGGAATTAAAACCTTTGTCTATTAACACACAATGCTTTAAGCTTTAAATTCTGTCTTCACTCTGTTCCAACAAAAAAATTAAAGCGAACAGGTTCTTCCACCCTGAGTAAGTAACAGTATAGGGTTAAAATCTTTTGTTATCTAAGTGTAAGTCAACGTCTCTCTTCCTCAGTGGAAACGACATATTTACATCCAGAGAAAGTTGCTATTGCAGATTTGAATTTGGGTTAGTGAAAACCTTTGCTTTGCTAAAAAATAAAAATTTTAAAAATTAGAAAAACATCCTAAATACGGAAAATAAGTTCTTAAAAAATGATGCTCTATGTAATGAAGATGGCTGTTTTAGGCTTTGCTTGTGTATTTAGCAACTAGGAAGTTAGAGAAGCAATTAAAGCCACTTTCTTGAATTAGGAAAATGTTAAACCTACAGAAAAGATCAAAGAATAGTACAGTGAACACTGAGATATACTCCTGCTGCCTATAGTTAACAGTAAATATTTTGCCAAATTTGCTTTACTTGTTTGTGGGTTTTGTTTGTTTTTGTTTTTTACTGAATCATTTCAGTGTGAATGATGGCATAATTTCACTTCAAATCTGAGGCTTACAGGTTGTGTCTCCTAAAAATAAGAATATTAGAGTCTGGGGTTAACTGTTGTAGGTTAAGAAGTCAACTTCTTAAGTGATACCACAGCTGATTCTTTTCCACAGCTGTTTCACCTGTGGTTTCTTTTAATTTCAGCAAAAAGAGGAAAAGAGAGTAAAGGAGGGGGGTGAGTGTTTTATACAATCTTTGACCTTTATAAGGCCCAACGGAAAGATGAAGGTGGTTTTAGAAATACAGTGGAGGCTCATAGTCCAAAGCAACAAAGCTGGTGGCATCAGACGCTGGGATTGGGAAAGGATTTATGGGCAAAGCTGGCCTTTCTGGCTTGGAAAAGTCAATGATGTTCCTAAACCTTTGGTTTATATTCTAGTAACAACAGTATTTTCCTCATTTATACATTGAGGATGATGATGCCTGTGTTTTGAGATTATTGTAAAGATCACATATATAAGCCGTTACTACCTTGCTTGCCACATAGTAGGTCCTACAGAAATGGTAGCTCCTGATGCTGTTCTTTCCTTTACTCTCCCTTGTTGGCCACAGGTCTGGAATTATGTGTCAGCTATTTTCTGGAGAAAGGGGGTTTTCGAGGGATGGGGGAGGACAGATAGCAGCAGAAGCTGTCTAAGTGGCTTCATCTCGATAGTCCCTTCTCTGCTTTGCCTCTCGCTTTATCAGAAAGTGTCCTGGAATGAAGCAGAGCAGGCCTGACGGCCATCCTGCCACCAGCTTATAGTGTGGCTTTTTGTAATACCACTGACTCAGCTGACCCTAGAGTGTGGTCAAGTCCATACTTACTAATGGTGAGTAGAAACCTTACACGTAGATCAAGACACGGACATGATGTAGACTGTGGGTCATCAACTCCAAGCCCCATTTTAAAAATTACATGTAAAACCAGTGTGGGATTTAAATTTGTGTGTGTTTGTTTTTTTTTTAAATTTCCAGTTACAGATGACTAATAGTGCCCTTCCTTCTCTGTTATTAAAATAATAAAGTCATGGATGGGTATTTCTCTCTTCTGATTCAGTGAAGTATCCAGTAAGTTAGGCTTGTTCAGATGTAAGAGTTTCTGTTGTGGCCATGGCCTAGAACCTTAGCGGACAGCAGTTCTTGGTGGCCTGTGTCAGCGCTTTGGCCAGAATGCACATCAGTCTAGTGTGGTCCCATTTTAACTCTCACAGTAATTATTTTTTTTCTTAATTGGATCCTTTACCAAGGAAAGCTGTGGAGGCTGGCCTTTGCAAACTATACCAGTGCAGATCTCCTCATGAGGTCACCTGATGACCAGCAGCTTGGTCAGCCTAACTTGAAATAGGCCTGATAACATGTATTTCCCACAAGTTGGGGAGAAAAGTTAGAGTAATTTACGTAGAACCTAGTATATGTTCTTTGTCTTTTCTGAAGTTACTTAAATTGTGTTAAATGGAATAATCCTGATTAAATATGAAGTTTATTGTAATGACAAATGCACCTCAGAAAACTCACAGAGATGGAAGTTCTTGGGAAATGCAGGTAAATGGGGTAAAGCAGCAGTGGCAGCTTGTCTTCTTGCTTTCTCTCCCCTTCATCTTCTACTCTTCACTTTTGCCTGCCACTGCCTAGAGCCACTGCTGGACACCCTCTCACTCCTGCTGGTCAAGTGACTCAAAGGCAGCTTGGGATTATGCTAAAATTTTCTAGGTGTCCCATGATGATAGGTGGATAGCACAGTGTTAGATTGTTAAACATAACTCAGAGTGCCTCCCAGAACCTTTGATGAAATGGGTAACTCACTGCACCCCCTTCCCTTGGGAGGTGTTGTTAACCTTCACCTGCATAGACAAGCAATTTTTTTTTCCCTTAAGAATCTAAGGACTGACTAATACAGTTCTTCCATATGTAGTGAGCTCATATAGTGCATTTGAAGCATCATTAATTTTATACATAGTTTTACTGAAACAAGTATTTTGACTAGTCTCCTGCCGGACACATAGAAAGTATTGTGTGAACGTGTGTTGAGTTGTGTTAAAGGGGGCAGGTCTGTGTTGTGTTTGCATATGGATTGTACTGCTGGGAAGGCCACCACACCTTTCCTGATGATGTGTCTGCTTAACAGGCATTGGGAAAGTAGAATTGAGCTGTCAAATCTTAAAATTTTGTGGAGAGATGCTTATTTTTGGACTGATTTTCTTTTCTGGTCAGCTAGTAAACTAGTAGCAACTCTATGAGGTTAATGCAGCCAGAAAGAAGCCTTTGAACACAGCGCCGTCCAAAAAAAATGTTTGTCTTCTCTTTCTGTTTGCCGGTGAGTGGAAACCTCACTTGGTTAACCCTACTCAGTGTTTGTGCCTTTGTATCTGCAGGTCTCCGGGCTTTGGGTTGTCACTGGTTGCTGAGACCACCAGTGGCACCTTCCTCAGTGCTGAACTGGCCTCCAACCCCCAGGGCCAGGGAGCAGCAGTACTTCCAGAGGACCTTGGCAGGAACTGTGCCTGGCTGCTGCTGGAGGAAATCTACAGGGTATGTCCACAGCTTCCTCTGATAGAGGAGTGACCAGGAAGCAGTTTGTTTTCTCATTCTCATCCCTTGGCAGATTTCATCCTCTTCCAAGGGCTCAAGCCAAGGAGGTAACCTGTTCCTATGCATTAAGCAGTTCAACATTAACTAGTTTAATTGATTAGTTGAACTAGTCAGTGAGTAGAGATCTAGCCCCACTGGGTTGAGACATAGGGCAGGTAAGTTTTAACAGTGAGCCAAGGAAAGAACTGGAATAGTCATAAAGGAAAGGAAAGGTTAAAAAAATAAAGCAGGTAAGGTAAGGTGGTGGCTGACACACTGCCCTAACCAAAGAGAGTACCATCACGGCACCCCCGATTGCTGCCATGTAGGAAGGTAGACTCATTCTTTTTAGATCTTTCAAGAGAAGCTAGAAATCTGGATTTGTATGTGACAGCTGATTCATATATAAAACAATGGCAACAGGCTAGATTTTGCAGTGCATTGTAGAGCACAGAATCTCAGTTAACAGATGAGTATCAAAAAAAAAAAAAAAGAAAAAATTAAAAAAAAAAAAAAAAAAAAAAAAAAAAAAGCACAGAATAACTAGGGAAGGCAGGCCTGCAGAACAGCACGGCAGAAGCTTTGGAAAACCTGAGAACATGAAACAGAGAAGGGGTGAACTGATGTTGAAGACAGACTCAACCGGTTGTCATTTTGCTTCTGCAATTCTGCTGGTGGGACACAGCTCAGACCAATCTGCCCTCTCAGTTGCCACAGTCTTTCTCTGTTGATCCTTTCACGGAGCGGGCACATGTGCACACACTTCTACCGTTTCCTCAAAATAGGTGAGGTGACGTAAAGTAAGAGAGAAATTAGGAGGAAAGATGATGACAGAAAGAGTAAGATACAGTTGTCTAAAAAATACATTCCCCAAGGTCCCCTATACTTGGTTAGAAGAGGATCACAAATCTGGGTCCAAGATTTCTGTTAGTCTGCACTGTCTTTTGCCTTGGTCCCATATCAGGAAGGTGAAACCTTTTCTCTGACACGCAGAGTCCAGGAAAAGAGATCCTGGACTGTCAGAAAGGCTCTGAGGGGTGGTCATTTCTCTGCTCTGTGTGTTAGGTCCCAGATTCTTGAACTGAGCATCGGCAGGAACTATACTCTAGGTGATTTGCTGTTGTATGGTGTATAATGTTTGTAAATCATCTTCTTCCCCTAAGGAGCTGAAGAGATTTCTGTCTTTGTATTGTTCTGTGTATTTCTTCTCAGTTGTCAGGCATCTCTCTGGTCTCCAAGTGAGTTTTCCCGTTTAAGGTAGCAAAAATCACATCTGAGCCAAGTGAAATAAAATCAGTAAAACAGGTAAAGTGGCAATTTAGTTTTTCTTTTAATTCTTCCTTTTGCCACTGGTTCAGTTTATTAATCAGGGTGGTAGAGTAAAGCCTGAATATCCGTAGGTATTGATCCTCAGACCGGCCTCACGGTGGAAAACAGCTTATATTTATAGTCTACTCCCTTGATCCAAGTCATTGTTCTTGAAAACGTCTCATTGGTCCAAGGTGGAACATGTGAGAATGAGCTGTTTCAGAATTAATTAAAATTTCCAGGTCCTAAATGGCTCTATTTGATGATCATCTAATTAAAAATGGAAGACAGTGGGCCTGTAGTTATATTTTCAGGAGAGTAGCTTCAGCCCTTCTGCTCGGCATTTGCTTGGGAAATAGTGGAAGAAGGAGATGAAATCTTCCTGAAGGAGGAGGTATTATTTGACCAGTCTTGCGCAGTCACGATCTGGCCTCAGATTTTTTCGTGCTAAATCAGTTTAATTTTTTTATGCTAAAATTTAATAATTTTGTGAAAGATGGGTAGTAACTAAAAGTTTGGGGTAGATGATCAAGAGGTTGCCCTGCTAGTTACTTAATTCACGAGGTTTGTGGTCTACTTATTTGTAGGGGGGGCGGGAAACAGTGCGTGTGATGTGTCTCCGTGGGTCCCTTGTTGTGCAGGATTTCTTTTCCTGGTCCTGTAGTGTCTGGCGGTGGCTGGTCCTGTAGTGGCCCTCTCTCTGACTGTGGGGACACTTCCATCTCTTTCTAATAGACCTTAGGAGAATTAGAAGCATCACATTATACAATAGTCCAGTGGGAGCCATGGGCATAGCTAGAGTGTGAAGTTTATATACTTATAAATAGCAGGTTATAAGCCTCAGGGTGAAGGCACAGCCTACTAGTCGACAAGAGGAAAAACATACAGTTTAAATTAGGTTCTTTAATATTTTTCTTTTTCTTCTTCTTTGCTTTTTTTTTTTTTTGAGACAGAGTCTCACTCTGTTTTCCAGGCTGGAGTACAGTGACGCGATCTTGGCTCACTGCAGCCTCTGCCTCCCAGGTTCAAGTGATCCTCCTGCCTTAGCCTCCTGCGTAGCTGGAGGCATACGCCACCACGCCTGGCTAATTTTGTATATTTAGTAGAGACAGGGTTTCTCCATGTTGATCAGGCTGGTCTTGAACTCCTGACCTCAGGTGTTCCACCCGCCTCAGCCTCCCAAAGTGCTGGGATTACAGACGTGAGCCACCGTGCCTGGCAATTTTTTTTTTCTTTTGTTGAGATCTACTTTCAGTCTTCCATTGTGCCTGGACCAAGTTTCATTTTCTTTTAGTTATTCAGAAAACTTCCTTTGTGTGTCTATGATCTTTAATTATTAAAAGGATGGAAATACTTCGTGTTTTTCTGATTAATTTTCTGTAGAGTTGTGATGTGACATGGATTGAATGAGTGGTAATAAATCCATACCTTTTGAAGGCGCTGTTTATCAAGTTTTAAGCCTCTGATCTAATCCCTTCTATTCCATTTATGCCTCATCGGTTACCAAGCCTTCTTGATTCTGTCCCAGGCTTTCTGGAACTGCCTTTTCGTTCCTCTGCTCTAATCACTGCCTGCCTCCCTGCTCCACCCCACAACTGAATTATGGCTACTGGCTCTCTGCACTTCCAGTGGAGAAGTTCTTTCCAAATCCTAACATCCTTTTCAGTGTAAATCTTCCCGTAAAATCCTGATCTGATCTCTTCGCTCATGTGCACAGAGACCTTCACTGGCTTCTCACTTTCCTGGAACAAAGTCAGAATTCTCGACCCGTTTCAGAAAGCACTGCCTTAGTTGGGCTACCCACCTTTTCTATGCTGTATGTGCTTCTCCGCAGGTGGCAGTGGTGCCTTCCAGGCTGGTCACCTGGCCGTTCCTTGCTGGCCCTGGCATTTTGTTTTTCCCCATCATTCTGTTCTTCCTTCTTCCCCAAACCCTGCTCATCCCTCCAGGGCTGTCTCAAGTAGTCCTGACTCCTAAAGCCCCCCTTCTCGTATCTGGCAGGTGACACCTCCCCACCCACCCTGGCATAGGTAGGGTGATAGCTCCTACCACTTCCTCCATGATGTCCTGTACAGGGACCTTAGCATATCTCTTGCAGTAAAATATTGGTCCAGTGAATGGTGAAATAACAACAGTGATAGGAAGCAGAGACTGAAGAGAACACTTTAATTTTAGGCTGTCTTATGAAAGGGAGCAAGATCTGTAAAACAGTTTCGTTGGTTGTTGTATTTTGCATGGGTCAGGTTTTTCTTTTTGGGTAGAAAAGGAAAATGAACTATCCTTGTCCTGGAATTTGCTATGTGATATAAATGTTGTTCCCTGTCCTTCATTAACTTAGGTAGTTTAGGGACGTGCAATAGATTTTCATAAAGGCTAGCAGTTACGATCAATCCTTATTTCCTTCACCATTATTAGGGCTACTAAATGATTTCTGACAGCCAGATATGCACCTGAAAATGGATTTATTTCCTATCCTACATGCCTTAAAAAGGAGGCGGGGCAGTTGTACCCATATGAACAGCACTGCTGGCCACCTATCCTGTTCAGTCTAGCCTTGGATAGTAACGTGCCTTGGTCAGAGACTGGATTTCTAATTGTGACCTGTGCAAAATATGTAGAAATTCAAGGTCATCCTTCTTTCACTATGTACAATATGTTTTAAATAAAGTTATTCCTGAAAGAATGATCAGAACACGTGTTTGTATACTTATGTATGCATCTAGTGGAAGCAAAACAGCTAAAATGACTGAGAAAAAAAACAAAATTAGAAAGGCAACCTAAGCAGTTGTAACTCAGGAGAAAGTGTTTGAAGAGAAGTCTGTTCTGCTTGTTAATTTGGGAGAAAGGGAAGGAAAAGGGGGTGGAAGGCATAATTTTATACATAAGTAATAAGAATGAAGGGATCTGACCTTAATGATTCTTCAGTTTTAAGGAACTCAGGAAGAGATAAAGGAGAGAAGTTAATAGAGCATGGCAAGCAGTTTCCTGAATGTATTTGAATAAGTGTAAAAGTAAGGCCATGAAAAGGCCATTTCATGTCAGATAGACTGTGTTGTTCTGTGACAGATTAAATAAATATGAGCGTCATCCACTTAACCCTTGGAATTAACTCTACATCTTGTAGAACTGATTAAGCTTTTTTTTTTTTTTTTTTTTTTTTTTTGCATATACTCAATAAAGATGATGTCCTCCTGCTGCTGCTTTAATTACAAAGGGAAAGTTTCTTTCTTTCTTTTTTTTTTTTTTACTAGATTCACTTAAGAAGATTTGAATCTGATAGTCTCATTCTGATAGTCTCAACTATTACAGTTGCTCTAATTGTTAGTTTAACCCTCTACAGTCAGTTGATGTAAGGATTACTCTTATAAGACCTGTATTCTGTTTTATTGTTGCTTGAACTTTGGATTTTGATATTATGAGTGTATGTTTCTGTATTTTTTTTTTCTCCTCTCTTTTGTTGGCTTTCCATTTTCTGGTTTGTACAATTATTAATTTGTGTTTACAGGGTGGATGTGTAGATTCAACCAACCAAAGCCTGGCACTGCTACTCATGACCCTTGGACAGCAGGATGTTTCCAAAGTCCTGCTAGGCCCTCTGTCTCCCTACACGTAAGTTATTCTTTTTCAACCTCGTCATTCTGTCCAGTTTAATTTTCTCATTGCCCAAAATGACAAAGGTGTTGTGCTGCACAGAGCCTGCACTATGAACACCTGCTTGTATTTATCCTCAAATCAGCCAGCAGTTGTCACTCTTAACCTGGTGTTTATTTTTACATACAAGGATTTTTGCCTTCTTTCCTTCCTCAGTCCCATGTAACTAAAGTTGCATGATCTCTATTGGACAGTTACTTTGTTCGTGCTTTAGGTTTTGTTTCCAGGTTAGAGGAAACTCCTGGTTTGGTGTAGCTTGGATTTTATTACTAGTTTTTTTTTTAATCATTCTTTTCCTTAGCTGTCTAACTTACTGTGGGAAAACAGGCTTTTTGTCTAAGATGATGGGTGGAAAAGATGACAAAAGACAGAGTTTGTATTAATGCTACTGGACTAGTAGGGAATTGTAGAAGTGAGTTTGGACCATTGAATGTTAGCAGAAGTTGACTGCTGTGGTATGAAAGCAAGCACTCTTCAAAAAGAATAGGGTGTCAGAAGACTTGAATTATAAATGACACTGTGAAAGAAGCATTTCCTGTTGATAGTAAATGAGGTTGCGAAAAACAGCCTATTTGAGTACTGACATTGTGTGTGTGTGTGTGTTTTCACGTGCTTGCATACTTAGAGATCATCATATGGGCCATCTGAGGGTGGTGAGCTGGGTGGCGGGGAATATTCAGGTAGATATGAGACTGAACTGTCCTTTTTCGGTTATCATGGTACCGATGCTGTATATCTGAAAGGTACAGTACTGTGATAACTGAAGAATGGTGGTGCCATCACATTGAGAAAGGGGTGGGGACTGCGGTGGAGCTATGCAGCCTTGGGCTGTGGCTTTGGGGGCATGAAAACCAGGAGCTTGAAATAAATTCTTTTGGAGGCTTTTTTTTTTTTTGGAATTGGTGGTAGGAGGGTTTTTTTGGAACAGAAAAATGGAAGAGAATACATTGTGTTAGCAGAGAGGGAAGACTGGTAAACAGGAAACTCGTGAGGACCACATTATCTCCTGATAGCTTGTGTAAAAGTATTTTGCAGGACAGGATACCTAAGATTGAGTAATCCTAAATGGCATGGTAACATCAGTAGTAAACATTGCTAAAATAGACTTGGTAGTTAAGTACTTGGAGAGGAGATGAGGGCTGGGAGAACGGCACCCTAGGTACAGAGACTCGCTTCCTGTAGAGAGCTCACTGGAGGTGGCTGCCAACTGTGTGACCACCATGGCCCCACCAGCTTTATAGCTGGGCTCATAGCTGCCGTTTCCCAGCCCTTGCTTCAGGCCTGGAGAAGTCCTGCTTGCACACACGGTATGGGGTGTGGGGTGTTGTCTTGAATGTGTGTGGTCCTGGAGCATGGGGTTTGGCAGAACATTCTGTGAAAATGGAATATATATATATATATATGTGTGTGTGTATATATATATATATATATATTTTTTTTTTTTTCTTGACACTTTTTTCTTTTGCTTTTGGAGATTTTTCAGTTTGACCCCAGGACCTGTATAATCTTTTCAAGCTTTGCAGAGATGCTCGAGATGTGACTGGACATTTTTTTAAAGTTCCTGTGTCCTCTTCAACACATGTTCTCACCAAACATTAATTGTAGTGTCTTTTCTTCAGAAAACTTGCCTAAAATGACTTTCTCTCCTGGGAAGACAAAGTGTCCTGCTCTGAATGGAGCTTTAAAGGAGTAGCACAAATTTTAAGATGATGTATCTTGAGGCTGGGGCTTGGAGACATTCTGCTGCCTCCCAGAGCTTTGTGCAGAGGGGTCTGCCGGGGTGGGAAAGGGAAGCCTCCTTTCTTTTTGATAAACTAGCATAAGGACGGGTAAGGGAGTCGTCTTTTCAAGAAAGCTGGATCTGTTTAGTACTCTTTCTGCCCCTAATCACTGTGGACAGCTCCAGCAGCACAAAGAGATGAAGGGCAAAGGCAGGACATAGCAGGCAAAGTTAACATTGTATTTGTGAGTATAGTTGAGGATAAAAAAAGGGATGAAATCCATGGTGAGGACCATCATAGTGGGGGAACAGTTTATTCTAGATGGATTCAAGAGCTTTGGAGACCAAACTAACACATTTATTTTTATGTGCAGTTAAAGTCATAGAAACTTGTTTTGTGAAACCTCAGATTTCTAAAGAAAACCAGAAGCAAGACCTTCCTTGGTTAAAAAAAAAAAAGCATTTCTTCAAGCAGTTTGGACCTGTTTTCATTTGTATAAAATAGATTTTTAAATGTCTATTTAAAGAGCATTGGGGTTGCTGTTGGTGGTTTTCTGTGCTACTTGAGAAAGTAAGTCTGTATGTGTGAAACTTTTTTTTTTTTTTTTTTTGAGGCAGAGCTTTGCTCTGTTGCCCAGGC